TTTTACGACAATAGGCTGCAAGGGTCATAGTTGATTACCGCAGAAGTAGTAGTCATTCATGAGTGTTATAGAATGTGGTTGTAGCTCAAGCTTGTCATAGAAATCGTAGTTGATAATCATGACAGTAGTTGGTCGGGTGGGTCGTAAATAATTACTTCAAGAGTGTCAATTTGTCATATTGGCTATCACGATAAGTATAAAGTGTTTCTGCTTTCGGTATTATTTGACAATAGTTTTTTCTCTCTAAAAAATAGGGGCAATTGATGCACCATTAATAATTTTTCATCATCTAACATGAATCTTCAGGCATGACGCAGATCCTGAGATAATCTTGTGAGCTATAAACGTTCAAACTTTAATTAAAAGTTATTCACATCTCTAATTTTAGTAAACTTGCAGTCAAACTGGCCAGCTCAACGAGACAGACCCAATTGTACCAAAAATCAATCAAATCCGAGTCAAATCAAGTCCAGATCAAGTGATTAAACCGCTTTTAAAAGCTTTCTGGACATATTTGGAAGGTCAAAAATATTTCAAATATGGTGAGCTCTTGGTCGAATCGAGTGTCTCAACAACACGAATCCAATGAGGCCAAAATCACTTAATTATGGCATCGTTAAGGCACTCAAATTCCATCAAACGTCGTTCGATCGAGGGAATCTCTCCGGGGCATCTGATTAGAGTGGTTTGTATTTCTTTACTAATTGCAACCGGGACTCTATAAATAGAGTCACACCCCTCTCATTAGAAGGAGAGAGAGCTTGAAGCCTAAAGAAGACTGGAGCCTGGAGAAGAAGTTGAATTTGCCTCCTACCCCTATATACCTCGACCACCGTCGACCATCTTCGATCACCACTCACCGGCCTCCGCTAATCACCATTGGTCGCCTCTCTCCTTGCGATGAAGCATCATGCAAAACAATAATTGACATCGCTAAGTCACGAGGCAACTTGCGAAGCGACACATCATCCCAACTAGGGTTGAACCCAAAGACGATGCAACAACGCACCTCAAAGATGATGTAACAATACACCTCACATAACACTAGTGCAACTCCAGACTCCCGACACTGTTGCTTATGGACTTCATTACAACTCACTGTTATGGCTTAAGTGACCAACTATTGACTACGTGATCCACGTCTCATGCAGCTCCCGACTTCGACCATCGCGGTCATGAACATCATTACAACTCATCACTACGCTTTACGTGACCAACCACGACCTACGTGATGAACACTTCGTGCAGCTCCTAAGCCCGACGCCCATGGCCTACTGACGTCAATACAACTCACTACTACGGCCTACGTGTTCCACAACTCATACAACTTCAAACTTCGATACCTGCAGCATACGAACGTCATCACAACTCACCACTATTGCCTACGAGGTCCACGGCTCGTGCAATTCTCAATTATAGTCTCCGCGTCCTACGGATTTCATTACAACTTACCACTTGTCGGCACTATTTTTGGTGTGGGGTTTGCCCGTAAGAAGCTGTCGGCCATCGGAATTGAAATCCCGCTGTCTGCTTCGGAAGGACGTTTCAAAAAATTTAGTTTTGAAAAAGATGAAGTCAAACTGACCCCATAATTTTCCTAGTTTAGATGAAAGAGCGCTTTATCTTAAATCATGTATCTATCCCGAAGGATGAACGCAAGAATTGAGAGTGAGGCTCGATCAAATAAACTTGGTCCACAACTCGTATAGCTCTAGACTCCAACCCCTGTGGCCCACATGCCTCATCACGACTCACCACAATGGATTATATGACCTACGTGATCCAGAGCTCTTGCAACTCCCTGTTATGGCCTCTATGACCAATCAACACTCTTAAAGCAACCATTTAAGGCCCACATTGTCAACTACTATAGGGGTATCAACTACAACTTCTATGGCAAGTTGGCGCTACAGCCACCTTCTATAACACTCACGAATGACTACTACATCAACGACAATTGACTATGGCCCTTGTAGCTTGCTATCGCCAAGAATTACAACTAACAATTGTATTTCCATCTTCTCAATTTCAGGATAAGAGTGGAGATGGTACTCACAATTCATAATAAATTATTTCAACTAGGCTAGGACCTGCGACTTTTTTTTTCCTTTCAAGGGTTTTCCACTTAAAAAGTTGAAACATCTCATGCTTACTTCTTTTTAATCACTTGATTGTGTGTTAAATCCTTGTGCAATACAAAGACGATAAATAATCATTACTCTACCATCATAAATCTTCTAGCACGCATCAAGAACAAGAATTTGAATTATTTGAAATTCACTTATTAGTTTACTTTCAATGAACTTAAAAATCACTCAATTTTAGATGAATTCCATACATATCACAAGAGTGAGGCTTTGTTAGTCATTGGCCACTCCTATTGGTTAATCATCGATGATCGACGTCCACAGCTTGTTGGCCATAATCACAGGCCATTGACTACCACCTATAGTTGCTCATCATTGTCGTAATTCGTCACTTTTGTCACCTATCCTTCCTCATGCATTGATTCCATTTTTCTTTAAACTAAACAAGAAATATAAACATGTATTCTAAGACATAACATTTCAACTACATTGAAATTCTTTTACACTGTATTACTTTTTCTGCCATATAAAACAACCCCTCAAGTAATTCATCTTGGCTTGAAGAGCTGAATTTAATTTTAAGCTATTGAATTTGATCTCAATCAAATTAGAGTATCGATTCAAATTGAGGAGGTATCTAATTAACCTAAATATTTGTGATGAGTGTAAAATTGGCAATATATTTGCAGGTGGTGAACTCATAAAAATTATCTTCTAAGCACCACACACTAATTCTTTAAAAGTATAAAGAAATTAAGTTGATGTCTCATACTTTAAAATTATGGGAGATGGAAATTGCATGTAGGTAGACGTATTGCAAAGATTTTTCATAATCAATTTGGATTTATGTCGGGTAGGCCTCCTATTGAAGCTATACATTTATTGAGAGGTTTAATGTAGAAGTTTGGAGAGAATAAGAAGGATTTACATATGATTTTTATTGATTTAGAAAAATATTGTGATAAGGTTTCAAGAGATATCCTTTGGAGTGTTCCAGAGAAGAAAGGTGTTGTCTTATATTTAAGTCACTAAAGATATGTATACTAAAGCGATTTCTTAAAGATATGTACACTAGAGTTGTTACTTGTGTATGAACAGAATGAGGATTGACCGAATATTTTCCTATTTCAGTTGGATTACATCGGGGATCGATTTTAAGCCCATATCTTTTTGCTTTAGTCATGGATGCTCTTATTGGCATGGATGGGATGCTCTTATTGGACATTTAGAAGAGAGCGTACCTTGGTGTATGCTTTTAGTCGATGATTTCCTTCTCGTGGATATGACTAAAGAAAAAGCTTAGAAAAAACTTAAATTATGGAGGCATATATTGGAGTATAAAGACCTTTGTTTGAGTAGAACTGAAACTAACTACATTGAATGTAATTTTAATGGTAGTAGCTCTAGTGAACTCTTTAGATATATCAGGTTTATTGTTCAAAGTGATGATGATATAAATGTGGATGTTATTAATATAATTCAAGTTGGTTGGTTGATGTGGAGGAATGTTTTGGGCCTATTGTGTGATATAGAAGTATAACATGGATTGAAAGGAAACCTTTTATAGATGGTGGTGAGACCTGCAATGCTCTAATGCGCTGAATGTTGGCCTTTAAAATAGAAGCATAAAACTAAGTTAAGTGTTTTGGAGATGAGAATGCTTAGGTCGATGAGTAACTTTACAATTAAATACAAAATGCGAAATTAATTTATTTGTGATACGTTTGGTGTAGCTCCAGTGGCAGACAAAATTAGATAGATTCAACTTAGTTGATTTGGTCAAATTAAACGTCGACTATCTCATGATCCAGTTAGGAGAGTTGATGTTTTAGATTTGACTTATGTTAAGAAAGGCAGAGGTGTACCTAAAAGACTCGAACATATTCTATAAAAATGATCTTAATTTGTTAGAATTAAATGAAACTATGACACTAAATAGGACATAATGGAGAAAAATGATTCATATAACTGACCCCACTTAGTGGAATAGAGGCTTGTTGTTGTTGTTGTACCACACATACTAATACCAAGTCACGTTGTGATAAACATTTTCATCTCCGAGATTTTTTATAAGCAAGAAAATAATAGTCAAATAAAAGTATTTTAATAGTCCAAAAGTAAAATAATAAAAAGAAAATCTAAAAAACCCTAAATAATGGTTTATCATTAAGAGTTTTTTAAACTCACAAAGTGGCTATTTGGCTGCAATTCCCAACGTAATACAAATGAAATGCCAAAATTTTTTAATTTTTAGTATTATCCGTAAAAAAGTTTAAGTGGCAAAAAAATTTCAATATATTTGAAATTCTCATTGGGTTTCATTTTTAACGGCTTTAAAATTTGATTAATTTAAACAAAATCCAAATACAATGCTTTTGTGAGGCAAGACTATTATCATTATCCTTACTCCCCATCACCCACAATGGTTCTCTGCCATCACCTCCTTCATTGATAGTTCTATACCGCCGTTGTTAACTTTCATCACTCAATATCCTTTCTAATTATCATTATCCTCAACTCTCACCTTCATCTTTCGTTAGTTATTTTGACTATTCTCTATCATTCACACTAACTACCCGCAATCATTAATGAAACTCCTTATCATTGTCGCCCCAATTTCTATGAATATTTGCAAGCAATCAAATACAAAAAAAACTTAAACTCCTCAATATCTTACAAACAATAAATAACTAACAAAATAAAGGCATAATTTTTGTTGTTAGGCTTTATGCTGAATTCATTTTATTTTAAACAATAAAGGGCCAAAGGCATAATTTTTAATATTTATGACTTTTAAGGCAAATTCTTTTAATTCCTTATTTGTTTTTTCTGCAAATTAACTAAGAATATATAATTTTTAAAATTATAGATAAATTTACTAATATACTCGCGCACCATGCACATAAAAACTTAGTTTAAAACCTAAGCTTGCGCCAGGGATTCGATAGGTTCGCCGCTGCGGAGGTGGGTTCTGAAGCCTGAAAATCTCCATCCACTGCTAGTCTGTCAGTCTACCTATTTCTCTCACTCTCTCGTGCGCGGGCTGCTGTATTTTTTGCTTGGGAAGAGATTATTACTCCCGGCTTCTTCTCCCTATCTCCAAATAATTTCTTCGATTTCTTCTGCAATGGCTTTGTCACTGAACCACCCTATCTCCCTCGGCATTAAGGAAAAGGATTGGATGTGGGAAAAGGGGGTTTCTTTGCATAAATGTGGTGTTCTCCAGTTTCGGAGCTGTGATGGGTCTTACCAGCGGGGGAAAAGGGTTTCATCCATCGTTTGCTTGGATGTGGGAACTAGTTCCATCTACATTCCTGCCGCTCCTATAGTTATTCCTGAAGGACCCTGGAAACAGGCAAAATTCATTTTTTTTGTTTATTTAATTTGTCATTTTATGATTTGTTTTGCTAAAAGCAGGTTCTTTTATTCGCATAAATGCATGTCTTTAGGAGCAGGGTGGTTAAAGATCCAATCTTGCGTTAGTTTCCCAACTTGAGATCTCCTAGAAGTCATTTGATATAATCACGAGCTGAGCCAAGTATAGTTGCTTGTTTGCTAGGTCCAATTTTGATTCAAGCTAAGCATGTCCTGTTACTTTTGATCCAAGTTCTATTTTAGCAAAAAATCGATTGGAACTTGATTACTTTTTGATATCCTAAGACAAGTTTTTAGTTAAGTTCACACACACTCATACATGTACAAAGTTACACATTGAAATGCTTAGATGCGTACGTACTACATACTTTTGTTCAAATGTGAATACATTCATAATTCTATGCGTATATAAATTTCTACGTACAAAAATTTAGTTTTTAATATGAAAGGGTTGACTTAGTTCAAGCTCAATTTGAACCGAGCTTGATTTGTTAGTTTGCTCGTTGACTTTGATCTAAGACAAAAGTTGATCTAATTTTTGAACAATTACATGCTAATTTACAGATCTTTTTTCTTTAAGCCCATATCTTTTTGCTTTACTTATGAATGGTCTTACTAGACATTTATAGGAGAATGTACCTTGGTGTATGTTTTTTGCCGATGATATCCTTCTCATGGATAAGACGAGAGAAAAAGCTAAGAAAAAACTTGAATTATGGAGGTTGACATTGGAGTCTAAAGACCTTCATTTGAGTAGAACTAAAACTGAATACATGGAATGTAATTTTAGTAGTAGTAGCTCTAGTGACAGAAGTGTAAATTTGGGTGATCAAATTATTAAAAAGTGTGAACGATTTAGATATCTTGGGTCTGTTGTTCAAAACGATGGTAATATAGATAGGGATGTTAATAGTAGAATTCAAGTTAGTTGGTTGAAGTGGAGGAATGCTTCGGGCCTTTTATGTGATAGAAAAGTACCACTTAGATTGAAAGAAAAATTTTCTAAGATGGTTGTGAGACCTACAATGCTCTATGGCGCTGAATATTGGCATTTAAAAGAGAAGCATAAAACTAAGTTAAGTGTGGCTGAGATGAGAATAATTAGGTGGATGAGTGGCTTTGCACTTAGAGACAAAATGCAAAATGAACATATCCGTGATAGGTTTGGTGTAGCTCCAGTGACGGACAAAATTAGAGAGAGTCGTATTAGATGGTTTGGTCTCATTATATGTTGACCATCTGACAATCCGATTAGGAGAGTTGATGTTTTTGATTCAATTTATGTTAAGAAAGACAGAGGTAGACCTAGGAAGACTTGGGCTTATTGTATAAAAAATGATCTTCATTTATTAAAACTAAATGAAAATATGACACTAAATAGGGTACAATGGAGAAAAAAAGATTCATATAGCCGACCCCACATAGTGGGATTAAGGCTTTGTTGTTGTTGTACAAGCTAATTCACAACCTATTTAGGATTACATTGAATATCTAATGAAAGAAGCATAAGTGATGGTTTTGGCTAATATGGATAAAAAAGGTGCACATTAGAACAAATGGCCATAAAAAAATCGATCTTACCATGCCTGGGCATGCTATTCTTATGAAGAAGGGCTCATCATTCTGTAGGTTGTGTATTTGGTACAAGTGATTTTCAGTATCTGCGGGTTTATAGCATTTTAAAGTTATATGAATATAGTTGGAATTAGGATTTAAGGAAGAATAATACAGAAGTTTGATGTTGCCATTTAGAAGGTTTTATTCATGAAAGACACAAAAGCTAAAAGCTCAACCATGCACTGATTTTATAGCAACTTTTGATGTATGATTGGATTTATTATGGAAACTTTCTAAAAAGGAATTAAAATTGTCAGAGCAAATTAAATGACAACTAAGCATTATGTTTGAACATTTGAAAAAAAAAAAACTGTAATGTCTGTGTTAATCCTATCATGGAGAGAATTCACTATCTTTCATTCTACTAACAGTACTGCTGTGCATGCTCTTCTTGGAATGATATATCTGCCAACCTGCATTGCATTTCATACTACTCATTGACTATATTGGGTGTTTTGATAAGTTTATTTTATTTATGTCATAAGATTCCTGGCGGTGTTACTGCTGCGAAAGGATTCAAAGCTGCAGGACTCTATGGCGGTTTACGTGCAAAAGGAGAGAAGCCTGATTTGGCTCTCGTAACTTGCGATGTTGATGCCGCTGTAGCAGGTGACAATACACTCTTTTGGTGCTTTGGTTATTTCCAACCCATGTGTTGCAACTTCTTTGAAGAGAATTGAGTTAATAAAGCTCGTTTCATTCTACTCTTTTTTTATGCCTTATTTTCTTTATTTGATCTTTTTCCTCAATGTGACGAATGCTAAAGCTTTTCTTTATTTGTTTGGCACATGACAACAACAAGACAATAACTGGTCATGCTGCAGACTATTTATTCTCTCAGGTTTTTCCTTGCAATGGCTGTAGGCAACAATTTGGACTTATCAACCACTGGAAAACAAGTTGACCTTGTTATTTTTGTGGCTTTGTTGCTGAAATGGTCAATCTAGTTTATCGTTTTTCTAACTTTCAATTTTATTAGCAACAAATGGTTTTTTGACTCGTACTATAGTATCCAACTCTGTTTTACAACTACTCAAAGCTGGGATATTTTGTTACAATTAAAGTGTCAATGATAAGGAGAGTAAAGAGAGGGACATAAAGGTTTTGGGAGAGAATTTATGATTGATTTGTGCAGAATTTCAAGCTTATAAATTGGTCATTTTGACAATGATTGTTTTGATATGCCTCTTGAATAAAATCCACAAAGAATGGAAAACCATATAAAAAAAATAACCAACTAGGTAAGTTCAAATTAAACATTAATTCTTATATAAATTTTCCTAATTTGAAGGTAAATTTAAATACATATTTATTTAAACAAAATAAAAAATTCAATTTCATCTTATTTTATTGTAGTCTCATATTTAATCTGGTGTCCTCCTCTTGGAATCTTGATTTCCCTCGTATGATGTCTGATCGACTATTTGATTGCGCCTATATATTTTTAGCGATATTCTCTTCAATCCCAATAGTGTGATATGATAAACATCTCTTTAGACATTTTCCATCAAGAGAATTGCAGAATTAAAACCTTGGTGATCACAATTTCTTTGATATTTACACGATTTGATAATCCAAATAGTGAGGATAGCTTAGTTTTATGGGCTTCTTTGAGATGATTAGATTAACAATCCATTTGATGATTTGATCTCCAAATCATTGCGACATTCCTTTGTATCTATATGTTATACAATAATTCCTACTTATATGGCTTACTTGCGATCTTTGGCTCCACGTAGTTTCATTTGTTTCGTAGTTTTCAAGATCGTCTAATTTAGCTCTTTAGTGTCTTTTTTGATTTAAGGATTTAAGCCCATTCTTTACGTTTATACTTGTAATTATCTACTTATTTACTGTTTTTTGGTGGATTTATAATTACAAATAGATGCGCTTGTAACATTTAAATGACATTATATTTGCTAATTTTATTTTAGTTATTCTTAGCTTCCACTCTATATTATTGTTTGGATGCGATTCTTTATAGTTTAGTGTAATTGGATATTGCAGATTTTTCAGGGAGGTTATGTCCTTACATCAAAATTGGGTTTGGATTGTTACTTGTTGACTTTATTCCTTTGCTCAATTTTAGTTCTCTAATTTAGTGTCCAGATTGTTTGCATGGCTAATTCTTATCAAATCCTTGGCAATGCATTTTCTTAAATTTGGTGCCAATTTATGACTGAACATGTCATTTTTATATGATCCCGATTCTTTATGCAAGATTTATGTTAGATAATTATTAGATTGTTGTTTGATTAAATTTATGCGCTGTTTTGATTTCATGTAAAACAACAGATAAATTTTTATGATCTGTTTGGGGGGTTTGCAATTTTATGTAAATGTAGTTGTAAAGCTATTATGGAAAAAATAACTTTTTTGAAAATTATTGCGGATATTATAAATATGTAGTTTTTTTAATAAAAAAAAGTTAAGACAAATATTTTTTTAAAATTACCACATTCGAGTTATTTGGTTGTAAAAAGAAAATTCTTATCAAAGAAATAGACAGTTATGGTGGCGGTTGAAAAACAACACAGTAAGAAAGCTATCATAAACAAACCCAAAGTTGAAATTTTGTACTTCTAATTTGAACCTACGTACAATTATATGATGTAATGAGCTATTCATTATGATTTTTGTCGATTCTAAAATTGTTTACTTATATGAGTCGATGATTCTTCAAAGATCAAAACACTCTAAAATTTAGAAATATGGTGGTGAATATTTAATTAATGTTGTCAGGGGTGTTCACGACCAACATTGTTGCAGCTGCTCCGATTAAATACTGCAGAAATGTGCTAAAGCTTTCAAATACAGTATGAAAATTCCTTCTTTTTTTGGCTTCTTGCTATACATGATTTTAAGTGCTATGCACGCCTTTACAAATTACAATTAAAATTAAAATGCTTGTTTTTCTGCTTTAAATTTGGCAGGCACGTGCAGTATTGATTAATGCTGGTCAAGCAAATGCTGCTACCGTATGCTTATTTTTTCATTGTTAATTGGTTTGATATTGATGATGGCTATCAGTTCTAACAGATTTGAATGATTATACAGGGCGATCCAGGTTATGAAGATGCAGTAGAATGCGCTCATTCTGTTGCCCAGGTTTCTGGTTTCAGATTGTTCATTTTGCCTAAGTTTCTCACCGCAATTTCGATCTTTGAAATTTGTATTTGCCCTGCAGCTTCTTCAACTGAGACAAGAAGATGTAATGATTCAATCAACTGGTGTGATTGGTCAAAGGATTAAAAAGGTGTGAAGAACAGTACATGATTGCACTATTTATGTGTTTGCATGCATGCATATATGTTTAAATGTAGGTATTGTGTATAGGGCTGTAATCAAGTTGAGTCGAGTCTAGTATGTCATGGATTGAAGTTGGCTTGGTTCATGTTCAGTTTGAGCTTGAGCTGAGCTTTCACATACATGCTCATACTTGGTTTGCTTAAATATTTTAAAAATCATATTTGATTTGTACTTGACTTGTTTATATTAATTGAAGAAAGCAAAAAATTCAAATTAGTACTTAAGTCTTCATCTAAAATTTGAAATCAAATGAGTATTTGATTTTTTTATATGAAGTTATTAACAAAATAATTTTATAAATCTAAATAAAAGAAAATTTTGATAAATTTTAAATTAGAATATAATACCAAATAAATAAAATAATATATAAATCATGATTAACTTCTTTTTTGCCATCAAATAATATAAATAAATACCAATAAACTAGTTCATTGAAATAAATAAATGAAGAAATTATATTAAATTTATGTACATATTGATATTAAATTAAAATATTTTATTATTAAAAATTTAATCAATAAATTATAATCAATCAAGTTATATTTAATAATATATCATATAAGTATAGAACATTTAACAAGTTATTTGTTGTGCTACAAATGAGTTTTTTCATGAACATTAATAATGGAGTTGAACTATGTTCAAATTTAGTTCATTTTAGTTCGAGTTTTAAAAAAAATGTTCAAATTTGTTTATTTATTAATTTGAACAAATATGATTCAGTATTAATCGAGTCAAGTTTGAGTTGTTCGTCAAATGCATTGGTTCATTTACAGCTCTAATAGTGTTTATCCTTCTAAATGGATAATAGTCTAACTCCTCTTTTTACTTGAACAATTTCCAGATTATTTAAGAATTTGACTGAGGATTGCAAATTGAATTGCACCTCAATTAAATTAGGCACTCTCATCATGAACTTCCTTTTTTTAGCTAAGTAGGTATTGATTATCTGTATGCAGGAAGCTCTTCTAAGTTCACTTCCCAGATTGGTTAATTCCCTATCAGCAACAGTTGAAGGGTATTGTTCCCAAACATAAATTCTGTTACCGTTGGATTGGATTGTTTTAATCATTACCTTCTGCATCTTTCAACATTTATGTTGCAACTTTGTTGGCTGCATGCCTTCATTAGGGTCATTCGCAACTCAAATTTTCTTTTAATTTTTTTAATATAAATGATTATACATGCTTGCGTTAGAAGATAAAAAAAATTGATTTGGATGTTATCCACAAGTTATACACTCTAACTTGATTTGATTGTGGTGGAAGAGGCTTAAGGAAGGATTGACGAGATTTAAAATTAAAGTTATGTTTAGTTAGTGGAATTTCAGGGATTTGAATTGGTGCAGGAGAATTGGTAGACATGATGATTAGAATAACAGATAATACTTGTTTACAAGCATAAAATAAAAAGGGTGAAATCGAAGAATATTGCCGTAGGTTTTAAATATAAAGAACATGTACAGGGTTAAAATATTAAATGTAGGAATTGGGTTGTGATGGTTGAAAAGTAATATTGTTGAGGTGAATTGAGTCTTTAATATGGTTATTGCCTTTAATGTAAACATTGATAATGAATTTATTGATTTGTTTTCTGTCTATCATTCTTAAATTATATTGGGAGATAGAAGTGTAATAGCTGAGCTTGAGCGATCCCAATGCTTGTCATTTCAACTTGTTAAAATTTTTTTAATAAAAAATTGGCTCATAGTCAAAGTTTAATGTCAATTAAAGGTTCATGTTTGGCTCAAATCAAATATTTTGTTCATTTTCAAGCTTGGCCAGGCTTAAATTTAACTTGAATGATTTAAAATTTTTTTTTTTTTTTTAAATACTGTAAAAAAAATTAATATAAAATGTTTATAATAATATATATTTAATTATTGAATTAAATTGGGCCAAAATAAGCGGAACATGATCAAACAAAAGTCTATTATTGTTCGGCTTATTTATAAATCAAATTAAATAAAATTGTTAGTGTTCTGCTTGGCTGCTTAAGGAACGAATCAAATACAAGTAACTTAGCCTGGCGAACACAACTAACTTTTCTGACAACCCTATTTACTAAGCTATTATCTTTTCATTACGAATACATTCTTCAAGGAATAGGAAGTGCTCATTACGTTAAAACTGGAGCTACCAAATGATAAATGTACTTATTTTTCACTTGCAAGAAGTTATAATTTTTTTTTTCAAAGATTGTAATGTGATTCCAAGAGAAAGTTTTGGCTGCCCAACATAGTTTGGTTGTTATGATTGAATCAAAATAAATAGTTATTTTAGGATAAGGTGAAAAATAAGAAAATTTTCATCTTTCGAGATAAGTTAAGAGAGGCAAAATCTAATATAAGATGACTAGTTCCATTAATAAGATTGTGACAGAATTTAAAGCGAGTTTAATAACTAATCGTATATCAGTAAGGATACTTGATGGTAGATTAGAAGCATATTGTACATTTGAAAGGGGATTGGTTAGTGGGATGAGGTTCACAAGCTTTATTAAGTAAAATGATATATACTTTTAAAGGGTGTCGAATATTAAATAGACTTACAATGATTAAAAAAATGTTATAGGTTTTGCAAAGAGGATCACAAGCAAAGGATACACTATAGTTTTTGTTGATTTGTATGATAATCTCGGTACCAAGGAGCAAGAAAATTAGATATATAAAATAGACAAGATATAAGAGATATAGATGTTTTGATCAAGTTAAAAACATTAAAAATGCCATCACTAATATTTCGATCAATGACGAGAAAATTATTAAGAGGGTTTTAAGGAATATGTTATTTTGGAAGAATATTATGAGCAAAATAATGTGACATTTTATATATTGCTTAAAAGAAATCAAGTGAAGTTAGGACCAAAGAAGATGCAAAAAGGTAAAGTTTTAGTTTTAGTAGATATGATTGAACTTTGAGGAGTCGTGAACATATTGTAGTAGCTTGGTTCAACAAATTTTTTCATTGCAATTTGAATGCTTAAAGAATGCCAGATAATTGAAGAAGACTGTTTTGGTACCAATACTTAAGGATATCTGAGATGCTCATGGTTTTGCTAATTATAAATGAATTAAAATCGTTTTATGCTAAGAAGATCTACTATGAAATTTTTTATTATAATTATTTGGAAAGTATAGATATTATATAATGTTCATTATATATTTTTTATTGATATCGAGAAAGATATGGTTGATTATAATGGGATGTGATTTAATGTGCATTATGCTTACAAGGTGCTTCAAAGGTATATTGAAGATATTAAAGATATGCATGATGGAATAATGTTTAATAATAAAAGTAGTTATTGAGTGATTAAGATTTTCAATTTGCAATCGGAGATTCTTACAAATGATATTCAAAATGAGGTGCTTTGGTTTATAATTGTTTATATAATATTATTTCAAGCAGTGAAATATTTGCTAGAATAAGTGAAAAATTAGAACAATGAAGAAAATATTTAGAAGATAATGATCTTAGAATTAATAGAATAAAGAGTGAATAGATGATATGCAATCTAGTGAGTTCGATATCAATAGTTATTAATTAACATTATTAGAATATATGAAAACTTGATATTGAAGAATGACATACAATCGAGGATATAATTTTTAGCATTAATGGTATGATGTTAAAATGGAGGTATGATTTACAAATATTATAACAAAAAAATAATATAATGGGGACTCAAAAGACCAGTTTTATAAAACAATAATTAGGCTATTGATTTTGTATGGATTCGCATGTTTGACAGTAAATAATTACGAATCGATAAGTTAAATGTAATTGAAATGAGACTGTCAAGATGAATATGTAGGAAAATTAAGATGTTAAATTAATAAATAATTTATTTTCCACGAGTGGTTGAAGTGACATTTGTTGTAGATAAAGCTATTTAAAATAAATTTATTTGGTTTGAACATATGCAATGAAGGCTGAAAAATGCATCCTTTAGATGGTAGATTAATTTAGCTATTGAAGATTAAGGAAATTTTTTTGGCCTCTAGCATTATGGATGGAAGCTTTTAAAATGATTGTGAAGAATAGGTTTAATATCTTGGATAACTCTCAACAAAATAAAAATAAAATGTAGATTCATAAATCAACCCACTGATAGTGATATGGACAAGATGTGCTTGTGGTAACTTTTATATGCTATTAAAATGCTGCCAAGAGAAGGATTGAGAATAAACATGTTAATAACAATAGTTTTTTAAAAAATATTAACTAGTCAAAATTATGACTTCTTTAAAGAAGATATCCTGTCCAACTCTAGGGAAATTTTAGAAACATGTAAATTAGATTGAATTTTTCTCTAACTTGAGTTTTATGTGTCTGTAATGGCTCGCATGCCTTTGCAGGGCAGATGCTGCAGCTGTTGGTATTACCACCACCGATCTTGTCAGCAAAAGTGTTGCTATAGAGGCTGAGGTTAACTTATTTTCCATTATCGGGTTATCTTCTCTTTTTTTATTTGATTTATGAAATCTTGAAACTATTAAGTCCTGTTGTGGGGTCTATTTTTCTAATTTTGATGTTTTCAAATATTAAGGTTGGAGGAGCTCTTGTAAAAGTTGGTGGAATGGCCAAAGGTTCAGGAATGATTCACCCCAACATGGCAACTATGCTCGGTGTAAATTCTATTATCTAATCTTCTTTGTGTGATAGCTTCGAGTCTTTTGAAAGGAACTCATAGGATTATACTAATTCCACAGGTTGTAACCACTGATGCCCTGGTTACCAGTGATATTTGGAGAGAGATGGTCCGAATAGCAGTAAATAGAAGTTTCAACCAGATCAGTGTGAGTAAATTTTTCCTTGATTCATGCAATGATGTGGTTATTTATATATGACTTTGCTGATATGTCATTGTTTTATTGAAGGTAGATGGAGATACGAGTACGAATGATTGTATCATCGCTATGGCCAGTGGATTAGCAGTTCCAGACAAGATTTCATCAGCTAATAGCATAGAGGGATGTCAACTTCAAGCGTGCCTTGATGTCGTAAGTTCACCCACATATTATGCTTTGCGAATAAAATCTAGGGAAATTTACATACTTAACACAGAATTCTTATGTATTTACATATCTCACACCTAACTTTCATATTTACATAGACAACACTATGATGTTTTAAACCTATGCATGAAGATGTTTTTCACTTTTAAGAAGTGGTAATAGTGCAATTTTTTATGTGATATTTTTGAGTGCTATGGTTGTAACTAAATAGAAGTTTCAACCAACTTGAATTCATAGTTTCTATTTTTGACACAACATAACACACCATAACACAATCATAACACAACAAATATAACACAATAATACATCTATAACACAACTATAATAACATAATACAATAATAACACAATCAAAACACAATAATAACACAACCATAACACATCTATAACACAACTATAACACAATCATGACACAATGAAACAAATCATATTTGTATATATAATAAACAATGTAACATATGAAGATGTTCTATTCTTTTGTTCTACAACTCCATTTTGTTGGAGGGATCTTGACACTGTTAAAGGAAGATGAATTCCATGGTCTTCATAATTCATTTGATATTCATTGGATGTGAATTCTCCTACACAATTAGATTTAATTGTCTTGATGTTAAGACCACTTTCATTCTCAATAATAGCTTTAAATTTTCTAAATTTTTCAGAAACCTCTGATTTCTCCTTAAAAAAATTGACCCATGTTTTTCTTGAAAAAACATCCATAAATAAAATAAAATATTTACTTTCAGCAAATGACATTTATTTAATAGGGCCACAAAAATCAGTGTGTATGAGCTCAAGTGGCTTGATTTCTCTTGAAGTTGACTCATTTAGAAAGATTTTGCGAGATTGCTTTCCAAGTAAACATCCATTGCAAAGTTGATCCGCTTGATTGATGTAAGGTAAGCCTCTCACCATCTCCTTCTTTGATAAAAGTTCAACACTACCAAATTTGAGATGTCCATATCATAGATGACACGGCCATGATGAATCATTATAACAACTTTTAAACACTTTACAACATCACATTGCATGTCAAGAAGAAATATTCTATTTTTCGACATAGGCACCTCAACAATCAAATTTTTTCTATGTTCTCTTAAGAAAATGATATTTTTTGTTAAGAAAAATATGCATGAAGTTTGGGTTTGTAAACATTCTAAACATTCATAGTAACATTTTGAAAATGCGTCAATCATTGTTTGGTTTGCAGGTTATGCAAGGCCTTGCAAAATCAATAGCTTGGGATGGTGAGGGAGCAACTTGCTTGCTTGAGGTTTTCTCATCCTTTTAGGAGTTCTATAGCTTAACTCGTCTTAAATGCGTGTAGAAAACAAAGTGGTGATTATAAATGAACAATGATTCTATGTCCTTCAGGTTATTGTTTCTGGTGCCAATAATGAGGCGGAAGCAGCGAAGATTGCTCGGACGGTGGCATCCTCTTCGCTTGTAAAAGTATGTTCTATTTAACTAAAGTTTTTATTTTTGGCTTTAATTAATTTGGCTTTCTTATTGTGATTCTAGATTTTGAATTGTAAGTTGCTGTTGGACTCAATTTTTTCTTCCTTCAGGCAGCTGTCTATGGTAGAGATCCTAATTGGGGTCGCATAGCATGTGCTGTTGGCTATGCTGGCATTGATTTTGACCTTAATGCGCTTCACTTATCATTGGGAGATATCCCTCTCATGCGCAGTGGGCAGCCACTTCCTTTTGATAGGTATGATGGTGTATTTCATCATTATTTAGATTTGTCTTATCCCAACTATTTTGGGGTAGATTTGTTTATAATTTTTCTCCCTTCATTTTTTTGAGCATTCTCTGTAGCTTCAACTCTATTTTATGCATGTTTTTTTGACAATTTCTATATAAATTACCTTTGGTTTGCAAGTTTTCATTTATATACTTAGTGACATTAATTTTATCTTGGTACTTTGTTGTGCATTTTTTTCTCTATACTTTATATGTCCAAATCACTTTTTTTTTGTAATATTATTTTGAGTAGGCACCGATTAAGCATTGATATAGACACGATAAGGGAACAACGATATGTCATAATTGTAAGCATTGGGGCACAAAATGCAATAGACATATTTTTTATGTTTTATAAATTATTAAGATAAAATATAAAATTTTAATTTTATCCATAAGATATGACATGATAAGAAGCTTTCTAAAGAAAAATATGACATGATTGATAATAAAACAATGCTTAATCACATAAGCTTTCATTAATCATTTCAAGTTGTCTTATGTTTTCCCAATATCAATATTATTTTTAAAATGTAAAATATTCTCCAAAAAAAAAGCCTTTGTTAAGCAAATAAAAAATGAATATGTATACTAAAAAATGTTTTGCATAGATCTCGGGTCTACCCTCGATCGACTTTTCCCCCAACTGAGGACTTTTTCTCATGACCGGACATCAGAACCCGACGACTCCCCCTCGACAGGAAAACCCCAGAATTACAGATCCAGCGGTCGATGAGGTACCCAACCGAATACACCAACACAAAAGACTAAAATATCCTATACTAATCCCCTTTAAAGCAAGGGTAATATTGTAATTTATCATTGGTCATATCATCTATAAATAGGAGAGAACTTTCATGTAAAGTGGCTTTTCGGCTTCTCCTCTTGTAACCCAACTATTTAAGTGAAATAAAATGGGTTTGAGAGTCCGGGAACACCTCATTCGCCCCGACGGGACAAATATTTTTCTTCTCTCTTTCTCCCTCCCTCTCTCCCTCTCAATCTCCTTTTCTAGATTGCAACGCCTCTATACCTTGTGCACGGTCTATCAGACATATTTGAATTTTAGGTGCGGTGAGCATGGACCGTACCTGCAACAAAAAGACAAGGAATATCGAGGAATAACTCTTCAAAGAAACCGTCCTGGCAAAGAGTACCCACCAGTGGAACTGCGGAACAGCAGATTCGCCATTTATCTCTCGCTATCGACAACATTCGAGAAACTATGTAGATCTGTAAAAAATTAGGTGCATGCTCTCCTTTTTTCTGATATAGCCGTTTATCTCACCGGCTCGCTAGACTCCATATGTCACGTTGGCCCCCTCATAAGTCCACCAAATTCCCTTTGCTGCGCTAGCTGCCTCACTACTTGTTGTCCGACCACATCCCCGATCGATCACCTCACCTCACCTCACCCACCTGTGTTAGGATGAACCGATCAGCCACCTAATTCCCCCAACCATCCGGTGAGCCTGCCTCAACTTCCATGCCTTGGGAAAATGGCGGCATTCCATTGAGAAGATTGTAGAGAATAACCCCAACATTCCAAACACCCGCCGCTTGATTATAGCAGCATGCCAACACCTTTGATGCTGTATAGAACGAATAGCCAATTGTATCACACAAACTCTGCATGGGCTTGATATAAATAGCGATGCCAAAATCCATGACTTGATTTTCGACTCCACCTCACAAACTCTTCACAAGCGCTCTTCTACCGACCGTCCTCCCATCCCAAAAAATCCTTATAGGCCGAACGTTCTTTTAATAGGTTACAAAAATGCAAAACACTATTTATTATCATTCCTTTTTTTGATTTTGTCTAGCCCCTATCAGAATTAATCTCAGATTATGCCCTGTTGAACCATGTCGCCTTGTCGTGTCGGTCGGCTGCCACCATTCAGGCGTCCACCTTGTCATATCGCTCTAGCCACCTTACCTACCGACCTTCCTCTTTGCTGTCGTGCAAGGAACCGCTCCATGCTGATCGTCTGCCTCGGGGATGGTCTTTACAACCCACCTTTGCCCTCTGTCGAAAGCGGATCTCACGCCACCAATCGACCATCACTTTATCGGCTGACCCAACACTTTTTCTTGCTGTCGCAAGCCAGAAGCCACACATCTGACTTAAAAAAAATTCTTGCCCACGTCTCCTGCTTCTTCATCCACCGCTTGAACCATCTAACCATCTCGTCACACTCCACGCCGTCCCCCCTTGTCTTCGTCGTTTCTTCTTTGTCCTCCCCCGAACCGATGCTTTTCTTTCAAGGCAATCCCCTCTGATCGCTCTTCGTAGTTGGTCTCCCCGCTGCCCCCTTACTCTCTCCGTTTTCTTTGCTTCTACCACTTTATCTCCCATCATATAAAAATTTTCAGTTTTCTCATTCTGCCTTTAGAGAGGCACACACGTATTGTCAAGCTCGGCTCTGAGGCCGATCTCTTCATTTGCCCTCATACACCTAAGCTACCCGTTGACCGACCATCTACCTCCGGTCGGTTGCCAATCTCTGGCTGGCCGACTGTCTTCGACTGGCTAATGCTCTGGCAGACCACTTCAAAGAACATAAAATTTAAATCTAGCCACCTTCACATCTCCGGCCGGGTACCTCCTCACTCTGCCCAATAACCATCCGACTGACCTTCCTCTGGACAATGGTCGTGTGGACCGATTGGCCAAGCCGTCCGACCACACCACTCTTCTTCAAAACCTTGGAGATTCAAGATCCAAAGATGCCAAATCTATAGCTTTATTTTTTCCAAACCGACCGCCTACAAAAGCTGTTAAAAAAGGAAGATGTACATACATACCACTCTTATCACTGGTTTATGGACTATTCATTATTGACTATTCAATTCTTATATATTTATATACTTACATATCACTAAATTATTTTGTGATCCTCCAACAGGCTATTCTCTCGCAGGCAACACTCCCCAACCGACTGTTGCTCGGGTTGCTTCCGACCGAACATGAACTTTAAGTCATCCATCTGCCTTCGACCGATCGTTTCTAATGAGGAAAAATTTACGCATATCACCCAATCCTTTTATTTCTATATATATCCAACACCTAAAATTTACTTTTACTTGCTGGTCGACTGCTTCGCCTACCAGCCACCAACCCAAGGCCGGCCACCTGAAGAGAAAAATAAAATAAAATAAAAAGAAGATTTATGTCCATAGCACTCACCTCTTGTTTCAAATATATAAATACATATACTTGTATACGGTGAAATGTATGAACGAATACATACACATTACTTATTTTTAATAAGGATTTTATGGCTATAAGAGAATTCCAAATGAAACTTTTCTAGATCTTGTGTTTTAAATGAATACTGCAACTATTCTTTACCTTCAGAAATTTAAAATTATTTTGAAGAAACATTAGCACACTAAGGGTCCGTCTTTCTGCCCTTAAGGTGCAAATTAATTTATGAATGCTAGATTATTGAGTTAAAATCTCAGGTTTATTAACTATACCTATTAGTGGTCTCCGACCCTATATAAGCATGTTATCTCCTTCAAAGCTTACTTTATGATAAATGCACTTAATATTATTTTGTTTTTTATGTGAAAGATCAATGTCGAGACTTGGCGAGATTGTTGACCTCATTTTGGAGGTCTTCTTTTCCCTTCCCTAGATATCCCAGGATCTAGCCTTAAGATCTCCCTATTTTGACTCTCTTAAAGGACTAGACTGGGACCCACACCATTTAGAAATTCAAGCCATTTCTTCGCTCTTTGCAGTTTCATATGGACGGTTTTAGATCCTCAATATTCAATTGTTTCGATTGAAAAGCCGACATATTAAAGCTCAAATTAGACTCTTATAGAGATTTGAAAGACATAGGTGGACACCGTGGCACATGCGATGTTTGACTTGTCACTGCAAGCGATGTGTTTGACTATGGTTGTCGTTTAGGCGAGGATCGGTCATCAATTCGCTCATTAAACGGCTCCGATCGGGTCAAAATAATTTCATTTGTTGTGCCACGCGTGAATCGAAGTTAATTTGACGCGATCGACGACGAATTTGTCCGGATGATTCTGAATGATGAAACGGACTGCGCCATCGCGTCCGGAACATTAATTTTAGCTTGGGAGGACACCTATTTTGTTGGAGTCCCGCGCTCGCATAAAATTTGAAATTTTAAAAAATATATATATAAAAATAAATAATAATAATAATATTATTATTATAAAGGAAAAGTTTTTTTTTCTTTTCTCTAAACCCTCGGGTACTATTCCCTTTGCCCTAGCCGAAGCCCCTTTTCCTCCTCTCTTGACCGAATCTTGGAGATCCCTTGTCGGTCTTCCGGTTATCTCCTCCCTTTCCGAGCTCTCGTCGCCGATAGCTTCTCCGGTAGCCCGTTTATAACGGTTTTTCCCGCTCGAATGGATCTGACAACCCCTATTTTGAATTTTGATGAATTTCTTTGCCCTTCGAGGTGTTTCTCGTCACCTCCTTTTTTTTTCACCGCCGGTGAGCTCTGGCCCTCTCGATGGCTATAAATACCTCAGGAGGGAAAGAAGAGCGGCAAGGTTCTTTTGTTGAAATTCTGAAAAAGATATAGTGTTGTTTTTTTTTTCTGTTTGGAAGCGTTCTTAGTTGCAATTTCTCCCCCACCCTCTCCTTTCTTGAGCTAGCAAGAAATTCAGCTCTCTTTTCGAGTTATTGAGGAAGATTGGGCTGTGATTCTTCTTTGGAGATTTTGGAGAAACACAGTGTTGAGAGCTCTTTCTCTGTTGGAAGTTTCTGTTTCAGGATTCTCTTACTCTTCTCGTTCTTGCGTTAACAAGGAGTTAAGGTCAGGTTTCATTTACTCCTAGAATATTATTTAATCTTTGGATTAGTTGTTTATGTGATAATTTCCTCTGAATTATGAAATGAATAGATCAAATAGAAATGATACTTCAGTTTGATCATCTCTTTGATGAAGAAATTAAGTTTCTTCGTGAATATCT